CTCAGGGATCATTGATAGCCCCTACACAGGGATCATTGGTAGCCCTACTCAGGGATCATTGATAGCCCCTACACAGGGATCATTGATAGCCCCTACACAGGGATCATTGGTAGCCCCTACTCAGGGATCATTGATAGCCCCTACTCAGGGATCATTAATCGCCCTACTCAGGAATCATTGATAGCCCCTACACAGGGATCATTGATAGCCCCTCCTCAGGGACGATTGATAGTCCATACTCAGGGATCATTGATAGCCCCTACTCAGGGATCATTGATAGCCCCTACTCAGGGATCATTGATAGCCCTACTCAGAGATCATTGATGGCCCCTACTCTGGGATCATTGGTAGCCCCTACTCAGGGATCATTGGTAGCCCCTACTCAGGAATCATTGATAGCCCCTACACAGGGACCATTGATAGCCCCTACTCAGGGATCATTGGTAGCCCCTACTCAGGGATCATTGATAGCCCCTATATAGGGATCATTGATAGCCCTACTCAGGGATCATTGATAGCCCCTACACTGGGATCATTGGTAGCCCCTACTCATTGATCATTGATAGCCCATACTCAGGAATCATTGATAGCCCCTACACTGGGATCATTGGTAGCCCCTACTCATTGATCATTGATAGCCCATACTCAGGAATCATTGATAGCCCCTACACAGGGATCATTGGTAGCCCCTACTCAGGAATCATTGATAGCCCCTACTCAGTGATCATTGATAGCCCCTACACAGGGATCATTGGTAGCCCTACTCAGGGATCATTGATAGCCCCTATACAGGGATCATTGATAGCCCCTACACAGGGATCATTGGTAGCCCCTACTCAGGGATCATTGATAGCCCCTACTCAGGGATCATTAATAGCCCTACTCAGGAATCATTGATAGCCCCTACACAGGGATCATTGATAGCCCCTACTCAGGAATCATTGATAGCCCCTACACAGGGATCATTGATAGCCCCTACTCAGGAATCATTGATAGCCCCTCCTCAGGGACCATTGATAGTCCATACTCAGGGATCATTGATAGCCCCTACTCAGGGATCATTGATAGCCCCTACTCAGGGATCATTGATAGCCCTACTCAGAGATCATTGATGGCCCCTACTCAGGGATCATTGGTAGCCCCTACACAGGGATCATTGATAGCCCCTACACAGGGACCATTGATAGCACATACTCAGCAATCATTGATAGCCCTACTCAAGGAACTAGTTTTTAAGGCACACCATTTTTACACTGTAGTACTAAAGTATATTTATTTTATTTTATGAATACACGTAACATGGACATCACAGTAATCAGCAATACAATGGTTATCAATGTATTGCTAAGTGACTTCAGTATTCACTACATACATTAATACTCTGTAGAACATCTCAATATATTTACATTCTAATTGCTTTAAGTCTCCATAGCTAGTTAAAGCTTAAGAAACCCAATATTTGTATTCTTCTACAAGTGGCAATAATGTTTACACAGGATTTGTAAATATGCAATGTTTTTTCGTATCCTTCAATTACATGATATCATGGTATCAATATGAAGGGCCAAGTAAGACATTTAAATGTGATGATAGATACAGAATATATGGGTTTGCTGACAGTTAATAAAAACATCAATTTATTTCTTTGCTCTATGAACTTTTTTAATGCTATTTTCATGGTCAATGCGACCCAAGAGATGCCATTTACTGATTCATAATACAGCTGTTTACTTGAATGTACTGATATTCTTATGATGTGTAGAAGGCAATTTGCTTTTTAAATGCTTTTTGAATATATGGAATGTATGTAGTTACCCCAATGTAAATACACTTCTATATAAGTTCAGAAATGAAAAAGAAATTTATTAAAATGTTTAAGTATTACCTATGATATATAGCAGTAATGGTTTTCTCAAATAAGGACTATTCAATTCTTACTAACCAGACAGATTGTCAGATAGATAAAGCTCATTTTCATGTGAAAAAAATCTTGTGGTACTTCTGAGACAGGAATATATATGTATCAAGGCTGAGAAATGTAGTATTACCACAGGTATTGAACCATATTATACATGTTGTAGCTCAGAACATAGAAGGTTCAGTGAGTAATAAGATCCGGGTTTGATGAAAGATCTGACTACACAGAGGGGCTAATTTTGGACCAGTTATTTTTATTCTCACAAACATTGCAGTCCTTTCCCTAAAGATCATCTATATGAAGTTACACTTTTGGTTCAGGACAACAAGATTTGCTAAGATTTAACAAATTCTACCCCTTTCTGCCCCTTAAATATGCCCCCATTGAGGCCACACCTTTTTCTATTGTAAACTTAAAGAAACTTACTTTACCTAATTTTATTCCTTTTTTTACCCCCACCTGGGGCCCCTATTGCAGCCATTACTTTTTTTTTCCCAAACTAAATGTGTCTTATTACACAGATGCTTTGTGCTAAGTGTGGTTGTAACCCAATAACATGGTCAATGCCACTAGAACCAAATTTAAAAAAAAAAAAAAAAAATTGACCCCTTTTTGCCCCCCATGAGGCCCCAGAACCCCTCAAGCACTTTTTTCAACTCAAAGTCACATGTTCTTCACTAGGGGACCCTACATACTAAATTTGGTTGAAATCCGTCAACTTTGAGTTTTGACCCCTTTTTAGTGCCCCCTGGAGGGCCTGTTTATAACCCAATTTTTTTCTAATTCACAAATTTGTAGACCTTGCTCTAAGAATCATTAATTTTGAATTTTAGGAAAATCTGATACTTGGTTCAGAAGAAGAAGATTTTTAAAGATTTAACCCCTCCTGTAGCCCCTATTGGAACCACACCCTTTTCTTTCGCAAATTTCATGCATCTTACTATACAGATACTTTGTGCCAAGATTGGTTGAAATCCATCCAGTGGTTCTTGAGAAGAAGTCGAAAATGTGAAAAGTTAACGACGCACGACGACAGACAAATCATGATGGCAATAGGTCACCATGAGTCTTTGGCTTAGGTGACCTAAAAAGTTAACGACGCACGATGCACGAACTTAATCTGACTGTTGGTTCATGCAAAGAAGATTTTTAAAGATTTACCTAAATTTAACCCCCTTTTCACCCTCCTGGGGCCCCTTTTGGGGCCACACCCTTTTTCTTCACAAACTTGAAGCAGTTTCCCATGGAATGCTTTGTGCCAAGTTTGGTCAAAATCCATCCACTGGTTCTTGAGAAGACGTCATTTAAAGAAGGTTTTTACATTTGGCCCCTTTTACACCCCTTATGGGCCCCAAAGGGGATATAATCACTTTTTTCAACATGATTTCATATGTCCTTCACTAAGGGATGCTGTCTACCAAATTTCGTTGAAATCGGTCAAAGTTGAATTTGACCCATTTGAGCGCCCCCTAGTGGGGCCATTTTTGACCCCATTTTTTTTTCATTCTCCAACACTGTAGACCTTGACATAAGGACACTCAATATTAAATATGAATTTAATCTGACTGTTGGTTCATGAGAAGATTTTTAAAGATTTACCTAATTTTACCCTCTTTTTCCCCCTCCTGCGGCCCCTATTGGGGCCACAACCTTTTTCTTCCCAAACTTGAAGAAGATTCCCATGGGGATGCTTTGTGCAAAGTTTGGCCAAAATCCATTGAGCGGTTCTTGAGAAGAAGTCGAATATGTGAAAAAATAACAACGCACAACGACAGACAAATCATGGCGGCAATAGGTCACCATGAGCCTTCGGCTCAGGTGACCTAAAAAACGAGTACATAATGACAGAGTGCACCTTGTTACATAGAGGTTGACACTGAGATTATGGCGACCACAGACACATCACAATCTTACAAAGACGGCCGAATCAAGTCATATGAAAATTTCTTTCAAGTTAAAAGTTGTGGAGTTTGCAAAGGAATGGGGAAAAGCAAAGCATCAAAGCAGTACGGTATAGATAGGAAGTGAATTCACGATTGGAGACAAAAAGGGAGTGAATTGAAAACCTCTTTACAAAACACCTCAAAAAGGAAATGGAAAGTTATTGGTGGAGGCAGATTTTTTAGTACTGAATGTGTTTCTTTTACATCTAAGATGGTCTCTAATAAGCATCCCCCTTAATTGCAATTTTTTAAGCGCCCTGGGCGCTTATTGGATTGAATACAGTCATTGATATCTTAGACTTAATATTTCATGGAAACAATAATATGATTTTATATGCTTACATTTGTGTTCTCACGTTAAACATTCATTTCATCAAAGAAAATTGAGGCTCATATACATGGGGAAAGATACGAGAAAGATTGGGAAATACGTGAAAGATCGTCACATATTAAATGTTTGTTGAAACAAACTTCCATGTCCTCCCTGTATTACCTGTCATTCAAAGCTAATTTTGGATATTCAAGACTTATATGTCTTACACGCTGTAGATAATATTGGTAGCTGTTGCTTATACCAGTGGTGTAAGTTTCCTGATCCGTAATAACACATTACAACACACAGTTCCTAATTCAACATGGAAAATTCTATTGAAATATGTATTGTTACTGTAAATAAATGGGAAATTCTATTGAAATATGTGTTGTTACTGTAAATAAATGGGAAATTCTATTGAAATATGTGTTGTTACTGTAAATAAATGGGAAATTCTATTGAAATATGTGTTGTTACTGTAAATAAATGGGAAATTCTATTGAAATATGTCTTGTTACTGTAAATAAATGGGAAATTCTATTGAAATATGTGTTGTTACTGTAAATAAATGGGAAATTCTATTGAAATATGTGTTGTTACTGTAAATAAATGGGAAATTCTATTGAAATATGTGTTGTTACTGTAAATAAATGGGAAATTCTATTGAAATATGTGTTGTTACTGTAAATAAATGGGAAATTCTATTGAAATATGTGTTGTTACTGTAAATAAATGGGAAATTCTATTGAAATATGTGTTGTTACTGTAAATAAATCAGTCTCCAATTAATAAAAACACTAAAACAATATCATACTTCAACACTTACAGCAATATCTGGAGCTCCGCTGATAAATTAAAGCTCTGAAGTTTGGACAGCAATCGTTGTGAAGCTACATCTTTTTCTGTTGGTATGCTATTGAATACATTTTCCACCTGCTCCATCCAACTACAGGCAAGAAAGAAATTCTTTTAGTGACAAGACATAGGCATAGTATGAACTTACCAACTTTAAATTCTGTCAAATTTCTATTACAACTCTGAATATGAAATACTTATTTCAGTCATGAATGTCAAATTCTTATTTCAACTCTCAATGTCAAATTCTTATTTAACTCTCAATGTCAAATTCTTATTTAACTCTCAATGTCAAATTCTTATTTAACTCTCAATGTCAAATTCTTATTTCAACTCTCAATGTCAAATTCTTATTTAACTCTCAATGTCAAAATTAACTCTCAATGTTAACTTATTTAACTCTCAATGTCAAATTCTTATTTAACTCTCAATGTCAAATTCTTATTTAACTCTCAATGTCAAATTCTTATTTAACTCTCAATGTCAAATTCTTATTTCAACTCTGAATGTCAAATTCTTATTTAACTCTCAATGTCAAATTCTTATTTAACTCTCAATGTCAAATTCTTATTTAACTCTCAATGTCAAATTCTTATTTCAACTCTCAATGTCAAATTCTTATTTAACTCTCAATGTCAAATTCTTATTTAACTCTCAATGTCAAATTCTTATTTAACTCTCAATGTCAAATTCTTATTTAACTCTCAATGTCAAATTCTTATTTCAACTCTGAATGTCAAATTCTTATTTAACTCTCAATGTCAAATTCTTATTTAACTCTCAATGTCAAATTCTTATTTAACTCTCAATGTCAAATTCTTATTTCAACTCTGAATGTCAAATTCTTATTTAACTCTCAATGTCAAATTCTTATTTAATCAATGTCAAATTCTTATTTCTCAATGTCAAATTCTTATTTAACTCTCAATGTCAAATTCTTATTTAACTCTCAATGTCAAATTCTTATTTAACTCTCAATGTCAAATCTCTTATTCTTAAACTCTCAATGTCAAATTCTTATTTCAACTCTGAATGTCAAATTCTTATTTAACTCTCAATGTCAAATTCTTATTTAACTCTCAATGTCAAATTCTTATTTAACTCTCAATGTCAAATTCTTATTTAACTCTCAATGTCAAATTCTTATTTCAACTCTGAATGTCAAATTCTTATTTAACTCTCAATGTCAAATTCTTATTTAACTCTCAATGTCAAATTCTTATTTAACTCTCAATGTCTTATTTCAACTTCAATGTATTCTTAAACTCTCAATGTCAAATTCTTATTTCAACTCTCAATGTCAAATTCTTATTTAACTCTCAATGTCAAATTCTTATTTCAACTCTGAATGTAAAATTTTTACTTCAACTCTGAATGGCAAAGTCTTTAATCATTTCAACGTGAGATACCCTTCTGCACTTAAACAAGCAAGGCTGATCTGCTTACAAAGATGAGTACAGCAGTACAGTACACTAAATAAATTTTGTCTAAGTGTTGATGTGACCAAAATAAACATAAGTTAATGTTTGCACTTGATTAATACTATACCTGTATTTTACGGTATATATTTACCCTTTCCCAAACAGTTTTACTACCAACTTCAGTTAAAAAAGTAACTTTTTAAAATATATTTTTCAATTTTTTTCCAAGCGGTATAGGTTTCCAACAACTCTCTCATATTGTGTTTCATATAAAATTTCAGCTAAAATATTTCCAACTGAAATAATTTCAACATCAAATGTATTATGTAGAGGCCTGGAGTTTATAGACATAGGTGAAAAATTAGGAGGAAGGGGTGGGTTGGTCATAAAAGTATAAAGAAATAAAGGATTTTATCAAAAAACCTTTTGTATTTAACCCTCTTAACAAGTATTGACTGAGAGAATTTTATACATAAGTACATTTGGTAGGTAAAGTAGTATAAATCTATTACCAAAACATCTTTTCTTCTAAAAATTTTGGCTCCTTATGAAGAGGCATATCCGTGATGGCATGGAACAGAGCCATTTTTTGGGCGATCTGTTTAGACAGGAATGGATTCTGAAGGTCACGTGTACTCAGTGGCTTGGTCTGAAACATAACCAAAGAACTTAGAAAATTGTGTTCAATCTATTGTTTTGTTGTCTATTGTTTCAATCTATTGTTCTTGTTTAGTCAGTATCACCTACGTGATGTCATCAGCAAGTAAGTACAATGTAGGTAAAGACAACATACAGAATGTAGGACTAAAACAAGGAGAAACACTACACAAACCATCACACCAACTTGTAAACAAGACATATCTAATTATATCAAAATCAATAGTCATGTCTTACATGAAAACAAAGCTTTATTTGAATAGATCAGAGATGCTATTACAGAATTATAAAAACTTTCTATAGCTTGAGGGTAGGACTGATAATCTCTACCCAAGGAGGATATTCGTGACTGTGCAACACGAGACTTTGCTGAGGGTTAGACTGTCAGGATACTACTTCGAGGATAAAGATTTCTCTGTTCTACCCTCACTGTTTTTTTTGTGTGTGTGTGTGTGTGTGTGTGTGTGTGTGTGTGTGTGGGGTCTGAGCTAGGAAATGATCCTTTTTCTACCCCTCATCTCCAACATGCTAGAAATATATGAATGAGACAAATACTATAACCAGGATGTTTGAACTTTGTCCGTCAAGATGTATACTGTCAGAGTGGTTGCATGGGTGGGTAGTAGGTTGTCAGAAAGCAGGTATACAAAATTATGTTAGGAACTAGTGGCATATATCTGGTTATACATTTTGTATTGTCAAAGCTGTTAAAATAATTTAATATACTGAGAACTGTATTACAAACAGCAGGATATATATAACAAATTGACATACAATGTGAATATCTAGGAATTTTCAAATATTTCAGATTGATCAGTGTTTCTGTTTGTCAAACAAATTTCATTTAGATATAACCAGGATGTAATTATAAATCCGGAGGTAGAGCCAACGCCGTAAATTCTTATTGAGACCCAGTATGCAGGGCGATTGAAGAATAGGGGAAACTAAGTATATAAGTCAATCGCAACAGCTTCGGGATAAGTTCAGGACCTGAAGAAGCCCACTGTTCGGGCGAAACCGGTAGACGTTTCACACTAATAAAAAATCAACTTATCCCGAACCTGTTGCGATTGACTTAAATACTCAGGATGTAATTACATACTAAACAGAAATAAAACCAATCCATGCTTGGGTGTACTGATACCAACCTGAGTTACTGACCAAAGTCTGGGTTATGATTTGACCCAAGCATAACTAATTTTCCTATGCCTGTACCAGTACCTACCAAAGTCTTAATATACTGATCCAAATCTCAGTTACGGTTCAAAGTCTGGATACCCATCCAAGCCTGAGTTACCATTCCAGATAGAGCACTTCTATAATTACCTAAGTCTGAGTAACTGTCCAAAGTCTGGGTACCCATCCAAGCCTGAGTTACCATTCCAAGTCTGAGCACTGACTCTTACCGGAGTTACTGTCAAAAGTCTGGTTACTGACCCAAACCTGAGTTACTGTCAAAAGTCTGGTTACTGACCAAAACCTGAGTTACTGTCAAAAGTCTGGTTACTGACCCAAACCTGAGTTACTGTAAAAAGTCTGGGTACTGACCCAAACCCAAGTTACTGTCAAAAGTCTGGTTACTGACCCAAGTCTAAGTACTGACCCTAGTATCAACTCAGCCTGAGTTACCATCATTCCAAATCTTGATATATTGACCTAAGTATGAATTACTAACAAAATTCTAGTTATTAACCCAAACCAAAGTTTAATACTGACCCAAGAAGGGGTTACTGTCCAAAGTCTTGGTACTGACCCAAGTATGAGTTACTGTCCAAAGTCTGGTACTGACCCAAGTATGAGTTACTGTCCAAAGTCTGGTACTGACCCAAGTATGAGTTACTGTCCAAAGTCTGGTACTGACCCGAGTATGAGTTACTGTCCAAAGTCTGGTACTGACCCAAGTATGAGTTACTGTCCAAAGTCTGGTACTGACCAAAGTATGAGTTACTGTCCAAAGTCTGGGTACTGACCCAAGTATGAGTTACTGTCCAAAGTCTGGGTACTGACCTAAGTATGAGTTAATGTCCAAAGTCTGGGTACTGACCTAAGTATGGGTTACTGTCCAAAGTCTGGGTACTGACCCAAGTATGAGTTACTGTCCAAACTCTGGGTACTGACCCAAGTATGAGTTACTGTCCAAAGTCTGGGTACTGACCCAAGTATGAGTTACTGTCCAAAGTCTGGGTACTGACCCAAGTATGAGTTACTGTCCAAAGTCTGGGTACTGACCCAAGTATGAGTTACTGTCCAAAGTCTGGGTACTGACCCAAGTATGAGTTACTGTCCAAAGTCTGGGTACTGACCCAAGTATGAGTTACTGTCCAAAGTCTGGGTACTGACCCAAGTATGAGTTACTGTCTAAAGTCTGGGTACTGACCCAAGTATGAGTTACTGTCCAAAGTCTGGTACTGACCCAAGAATGAGTTACTGTCCAAAGTCTGTGTACTGACCCAAGTATGAGTTAATGTCCAAAGTCTGGTTACTGACCCAAACCTGAGTTACTGTCCAAAGTCTGGTACTGACCAAAGTATGAGTTACTGTCCAAAGTCTGGGTACTGACCCAAGTATGAGTTACTGTCCAAAGTCTGGGTACTGACCTAAGTATGAGTTAATGTCCAAAGTCTGGGTACTGACCTAAGTATGGGTTACTGTCCAAAGTCTGGGTACTGACCTAAGTATGAGTTACTGTCCAAACTCTGGGTACTGACCCAAGTATGAGTTACTGTCCAAAGTCTGGGTACTGACCCAAGTATGAGTTACTGTCCAAAGTCTGGGTACTGACCCAAGTATGAGTTACTGTCCAAAGTCTGGGTACTGACCCAAGTATGAGTTACTGTCCAAAGTCTGGGTACTGACCCAAGTATGAGTTACTGTCCAAAGTCTGGTACTGACCAAAGTATGAGTTACTGTCCAAAGTCTGCGTACTGACCCAAGTATGAGTTACTGTCCAAAGTCTGGGTACTGACCTAAGTATGAGTTAATGTCCAAAGTCTGGGTACTGACCTAAGTATGGGTTACTGTCCAAAGTCTGGGTACTGACCTAAGTATGAGTTACTGTCCAAACTCTGGGTACTGACCCAAGTATGAGTTACTGTCCAAAGTCTGGGTACTGACCCAAGTATGAGTTACTGTCCAAAGTCTGGGTACTGACCCAAGTACGAGTTACTGTCCAAAGTCTGGGTACTGACCCAAGTACGAGTTACTGTCCAAAGTCTGGGTACTGACCTAAGTCTTAGTCCAGCCCAAGTCTGGGTGCTGACTTTTACTGATTTTCCCAAGTCTGCGTACTGATCCAAGTGTGAGTTACCAGACATGATAAAAAACATTTGTTTATGAGAAGGATTGAGAAAAAGATGATGTGCTTAGATTGAACTCAATAGTAGTCTAGTCAATATCAATGGGGCTAACTTTCAACTGAAAAGAGTGAAAGGCACACAAAAAATGGACTAATAGTTAAAGTTTAACCTGTTTCACTGGAATTATATATGTGTGACAGGCTGATAACGAAGTAATATACATTACCAATGTATGCACATGCAACATACTATATCCTGTAACAAGTTTTTCAAGCTCCATCAGGATCTGATTCACATGTATATAACATGTTTGTTGAGTTTCAAGAAATAAGTGGTAATTTACAACCGCATATACCTAATGGCTAATGATCAAACTCTCCAATCTAGTACTCTTAAGTACATTAAACGTATGAATAGTGCATGATGTTTATACCTAAACCACTCTTGTTTCTAAAAAGTTACATCCACAAACTTTGAAATGAATGAATATAAGATGCAAAACAAACGTCAAACCGTCCCTAAAACATTAAGTTTGCTCATTTCTACATTACAAAGATTTTTTTTATGAGAGAAAAACCCTTTGCAATGGTCCAATGTCAGTCCCCAGTAAAACAGTAATTTAACTAAGTGCTGCACCAGACATATGATTCAATTGTAAAATTTAAGTCCCTGTGAACGTTACACCAATGCAGTATAGTGAATTTTTATATGTAGCTAAAAAGTATCAATCTTGTACAGCAATGGTCATGAGGTGCTGAATGTACATGCAGTAACATAATGTATACATACATTTAAATTACACATACATGTAGCCAACTTTAACTCATTTTTTTTTAATTCAGTTTATTTTTTCACTTAATCAAGATTACATGATATAAACTAAGGAATATATACATATTTAATGTTTTGTCAATTCACCAATTTTTTCTGTTTTACAAGCATTTCATAAAATTCATCATTTTATATATAGTTTAACAAACTTTAAGTTATTATTGTTGAATAATATACATGTACATTACTTAATGATACATAAACAGTCTTTACTTTAAACAGAGTTACGGTTCTTGACAGTCAATCTGATCCACCTCACTATTAAGACCACCTTGCTATTAAGACCACCTCGCTATTAAGACCACTTTTGTCTTGTTCCGAAAGTGATCTTAACTGTGAGGTCTCACTGTGTTACACTTAAGTTATTTTTTTCTCTTAAGTGTATTACAATTCAGATTTATTTTCACTTAATCAAGGGTATTATAATTCAGTTTATTTTTTCACTAAGTTTATTTCTAATACAGTTAAATAAATTGGTTTTGTAGACACTGAATTCTACTTACTGGGATGTATTCTTCAATGCGCCCTTCTGCATGTGCAACATAAAGTTTTGGCCCCAAATTCTTGGTAGAAAGGATAGCAAACACTGCTGTGTTCCGTACCAGGAACTCCTGGTCTTTAGCAATGTCCCCATATACTCTTAACAAAACTTGTCTAGGTTCATTTCCCTGTGGTGGGTATTTCTTTGGTAGTGAACACAGGTACAAGTAGTTTGTTAGACCTCCACTGAAAATATAATTTCATTTTCATTACAGTAAAATGTGCTCTCTGGTTATTTCAAAGTACATTAAATACACTGGAACATGTCATTTAAACCAATTGAAATCCTTGTAATAATTCAGAAATTCTTTTATAAAAACAATTTGATCCCAAAATATTTTTAGGTAGTTCAAATCATTTTGTCAGATCAATGGGAAAAAAAAAACCCAGGGAAATGCAATTTTTTATTTACTTCTTGTCCTGTAATAACTATTTAAAGCATAAATTCAGGGATTAACAACAACAAATTTTACCACCGGATGAAATTGGTATTCCCGAAGTGGTGTATTTTTTCGTCTTAATAGAAACAAATTCCCTGTCATGAAAATATGCTGATAACATGAAAAAATTTCCCACAAATATGCAAAATTTCCCCCTAAAAAGAGCTAATTAGAACATCTTAACAAAACATATTTTCAAATCAAGCCATCAGGAAAAAGAAAGATCAATCTAACCTCAACTCTGTCAAATTTTATTCATGTAATCTTCATGTATGTCATATTTTTAAACTTTATCCATCTTTTGAATTCTGACCAGAGGGAATGTCTAAAATTTCCCAAATCACACCGAAAATTCCACTTATTCCACAAGTGGAAAGTATCCCCTAAATTCTAGATTAACCAATGAAATTACAAGGAATTTTTCACCAAAAGCAAACACCTTCTTTGGTGATATTACCAAATCTAATCCAAAGGCCAGGTAGAATATCAGAAAATTCCTTTTAAACCAAACAGCAAGGAAGCAGAAACATCCACAGAAATCTTTAAAATCATGTGGCTATTCGTAATATTAATGGACCTATTCATGGAAAATTTCAGAAACAAAAATTTGAAAAAGCTTCTAACAGAATAAAGCTATCTCATCATTGGGAGAAGTGTGTTTCATAGAATTAAACAATACATGATATAATTTATAACCAGCTGACAGAAGTTTAATACTGGTCTAACATGTAATGACAGACTTAGTGACCTTATCAATCCTGACTGGCTAGAGTAACAAGCAATTTTGTTTTCCTATGTTAATGTGGTATATAATTTCCAGATATTTAATTTTTGCTTATGAAATAAAGAAAACACCAAATTGATAAATTTTTAAGTTTTCAACATTAACATAACTGCTGAATCATCCAGCATTGTTTTTTTTAGTTTTGATGCTATGTACAAATGGTTGAAATGTGTTTTTCACCAAATCTTGGAATGAACAGAGAATAGTGTGAAATAGTAGAATACTTCAAATTAAAAATGGTGTGGTTTTATTGTGAAATTTAATGCATGTCATACATATAAATACCTGACGTCACAAAGTATTTGCTAATGTTCCTATCCTTAATTTTATTACAAACTTAATTTATCTTTGGATAAACTTTTGCTATTTTTGTCCCTTACAAACTTGTCCTTAGTTTTAACAAATATTTCATTGATATTTGGATCAAACTTTTGCTATTTTTGTCCCCCTATCACTTAACACGAACAAACTCTAATGTTTTCCAGTTGAATATTATAAATAATTCACACCTATTTTTAAGATAATGTATCAATATTTTTCACTTAATTTACATTAGTGTGGATAATATTAAATAAAACAAAAAACATGAAATATCCTCTATATATGCACTGGAGCCCTCATTAGATATTTATATCCTCCACATCACTACTTCACATCACTACTTCACATCTTGCTTTAAGATTAACAAAACAGTAGCGTACATGTACCATTCTTTTTCTACAGAACATTGAGACCACAACCTTTATCTAAATCATGTATAACCTTGACACATAGAACACATGCGACACCAAATATAGAGAACTTTATCAATGCAATAGCTACGATAGTATGTGTTAGGGTGAACTTGTATGCCATGCGTTATAATGGAGTCTAGTACATACATTAGATAAGGTCACAATCAACAACTCCACAGAAATTCACAAGCATGCAAGCAATATATGAACATATGAAATCTACCACATCATGGTGTTTAACCTTGTTTAAAAATTTCTAAAAATGGTTGTCCCGGATGTAACAAATATTTTATGACAGCAAAGACTTGGTCATATACATTACTGAAATGACTGTACAGTAGTAAAGACTACCATGTATAAATATGTCCTCAATAAAAATGCTTATTATCATACAGATATCATGTAATTACAGCTAGCTAGACCAGATACTACATATTTATGCACATATCACAGATAAGCTGGACTCCACTGGCTCCTACACTCGATATTTTGCTGGAAAGATCGTGATTGACTGTCATATGACCAAAACATCTGGTCGACAGGAATCTGAGCCAATTTTATCAAGTACAATCTAATACACTTCATTCACCATCAACATCCCATCAAAATTTCATTAAGTAAGGAATTTTTCTTCAAATTAATCTGAGATAAAAAAAAAAAACCACAGCATGTTGATATTTTTTTTTTTTTTAATCTTAAAATGCAAGCATTTATACTACTGATGTAGTTTTACAACTTCTCTGCCAAAACAGAAAACATGTTGGTGGCATAGTGATAAAAACATGTGCTGCTGATTACACAACTTCCTTTGTATAAAGGTTTTATAGGAAAGGTGTCAAGATTCTAACAATACTAAAACCACATTAAAAGACATTTATTTGACCCAAAATTTTAACAAAGGACAATAATTCTATAATCAGGGGTTGCAGGCCCTGAATTTGGTTTACTTCACATTATCCTAGTACGACCAATGTATGTACCATGTTTATGATCCTAGTTTTGATGTAAGCAACGCTAAGGGCAATAGCTCTGTATCTGAGGAAACATGAGCCTGAACGTTGCTACCTTGCACTTTTGTTTTTGTATAACTGATATGTATTATCACATTTCAATATCCTAGTTTATTTAAATACATGCAAAGTAATATCCTGACACTAAATTTTAACGAAGGGCAATGCCCCTGTAAAAATAGGGGTTGAATGCCCTAACACTGGCTCCTGACACAAAAGAGCCGACTGAAAAACGTATGGAAGGACAGATGGACAGACATTATGACAACTACATGCTTTCCGGAAAATTTTCAGGGAGCATAAAACTGCAGTGTATATCATTTAAAGCCATACAAGATATATAGAGTTCCAGGATCATGCCATAAGAACCTGATTGTTTGTAATACAAAGCTTGGTAGACTAGTTAATATACATTCAGCAGGTACTTTCTTCCATGCCCCTTCCATATTGTAAATGTACTTCATCATCTTCATGTAGATGATGTCCATACAGATGTATACTTCAGTTTTTCTTGAACATGAAACATCCAGAAATTAAATAATCTTTAGCCTGTTGTGCACGTTCATTGGTACATATATCAACATATACATTGTAGTTGTTAAACGTACACATTCATTGGTACATATATCAACATATACATTGTAGTTGTTAAACGTACACATTCATTGGTACATATATCAACATATACATTGTAGTTGTTAAACGTACACATTCTTTGGTACAAATATCAACAAATACATTGTAGTTGTTAAATGTACACATTCATTGGTACATATATCAACAAATACATTGTAGTTGTTAAATGTACACATTCATTGGTACATATATCAACATATACAGTGTAGTTGTTATATGAAAATCGGTATCAAACCCTGAGCATGAATACAATACACCTTTCGTGTAATGAGAGTAGATATTTTTATCATGGTCTGTATACCATGTTTACAATGTTGTACACCCACTTCACATTCCTAGATGTTTTGACCATATAAGCTACGAAAAATTAGAAATACCTAAAAATTAAACACATCTGTGAAGAACAGGTATTTTTATAGCATTTGTTCTCTATAGATCTTACTGAACAGGTAAATGTGCTTAATTTCTTACTTCATAGAAAGATATTAAACCTCATGACTTACTTTTACAACCACTTATTTTAAACTATATTGCACCCCTTTGTTTGCAAGGAAACAAGATTCATCTAGTGATGCTAAAATATTAGCATCTAGTTTTTGCTGGCTAATTGCAAAGGGTGCATGCAACAACATAGAGGTTATATAGTAATAGATTTGTCTGCAAAATTCTGTCATTAATAATGAATATAAATGCTATAACAAAACAGTTTTAAAACATAACTACATGCATGTAGATACTGGTTTTGTCTAACAAACCAAAATTTCATATTTACACAGCATTTATCATGTTGTTTCATCTTTCATTATAGAAATTTTACATGTGTTACAATACATATTAACGAATGTAACATTAAGTAAAGACTTGCTATTGTAATGGTACTTTTTATATTCTTTCAAAATGCTGCTAGCAAATGAAAAATGAAAAAGAAGTTAATTTCAGGTAAAATTTGTACTGTATAATATCAGCACTTATAGTACTCCTTTGTTAATGTGCATGTTTAATTTTAATTAAATGTTGCACATGATGAGAAATTTCTGGTCTTCGCAAAGACAAATATTTACAAGTGTACATGTAAAACAGCAGTTAGTTGAGGAGCTGTGCTGATCATAATTTTTTTTAAATCATTGACATCAAAGAATAAATGAAATCCTTTAAAATAGAAAATGATGCATGCATTATAATCAAATAAAATACTAATTCAATGTTTATACTCGTATTTGATCCTGTCTAACTGGCCTAGTTAACTTGAATACTATACCTGGTAATGACTTACCATGCTTGAAATATACATAACAGCACTATCATATCATCATTCTTTTGCATATCAAAGAACTAACTTAACAAATGTTGTCATTTATATATCTGATCTAATTATTGTGCAAAATGAATAGCACCAAGTTCAACTGGTTTGATGTATATATGTGTATTGGCCTTAATGCATGTATAATTGTATACATGGAACATGTAAACAGTATGGGCCGAGACATGGGTACATATATGCATGCAGTAATTATATACGATTATATCACACATAAAAATTTTCATAGGAATAAGTTACAAATAATTCTGCTGACAACATGATATCAGCGTGAAATTACTAAAATAGGATCGTGTGTTGATGAATACCAAAACCCACAACATACATAAGATCTTATATGATTTTCTATTGCTCCCCCCACCTCCCCTCCAAAGTCCCAGGCCCAATTTGGTATGTGAACTTTCTTAAACAACTCCTAAGATTTTTAATTCTAAAGGCTTCAGAGCAAAAATTTTGATTTTAATATAAATCACATATCAAATGGATATAAATTGATGACAGCTTTTTAAGGTGATTTTTCATATATTGAAACCAAATACATTTGTAAACATGTTTTCAAACTCCTTATGAATTTGAAGAAAGAAAATACCATGTAATTTTACTTGCTTATAAAAAGCTATCATAAATGCAGTGTTTTGGAGTGGCTTTGAATCCTTTCGGTGATCACGAGAATATAAAGTTTTATGTTACAATTTTACTTGGGCTAAGAATAGTGTAATAATGGTAGATACACAAAATCATACACGTGTACCGTCAGTCATGAGTATAAGATGTAAACAGAGCTGTTTTGATCGTACATTTAAAGTCAATGTTGTGAAGGATCAAACGCTTATGATGAACTGCTTTAATTACCTTACTACTCTAAACCCATGATCAAACTGATCCTCTGCCAAGTTTGCCCATGTTCCTCCAACCGATTCCTTACACCATTTGTATCCTTTTCGGCGGTTCTGTAACTCTCGGTCTTCGTCCATTTTCAGTCCGAGTCCGATAAATAAATGTTTGAAGATAACGAGGACTTTACTCCATACGTATACTATATACCTACGCATCTGTGTCATTTGATGTTTATCGGCGGATAGCATTAGCTTGGAAGAAGCCTTATTGACAACCGCTATCACAAAGTCTCGGCGCATACTACTGTACTACTATCCGCGTGGTTTGTTTACAATCTTCGGTAAAACCGGTCATACCTATTCTGGTGTATTCTAGTCACCCGTGTGTGGAAGTTTGTATGGGGTGACAAGGCCCTTTACATCACTTCCGGTGCACGGGCTTTCTAATGCTGCTGATGCTGATGAGGGGACGTGTCGGACGATTCCGGGTTTCACAATACGTGTAACCAAAACACGTGGTCGTTTTACTCTCTTTTTACCAAATCCACATTTTTTTTAAATTCAATGTAATGCGAGATTTATGTAAGCTGCAACCCAATTACATTTTTAATGCAACATTACCGAATACTGAGACACCCATTTATGTTAACGTATGTTTATAATGAAGTTCAAGGAGGTGTAAGTTTACCTAATGCCAAACATTCCTACAAGAGAAAGGGGAAAATCGCAGAATTCGTCGAATCTTTGTTTCTACCTATATATCTTAACAATGCTATATATATATATATATAAAAGTGGACTTGCTTTGAATTATTCATCCAGCTGATTCCTGAACTAACTCAACTTTCCCAACAATACTGGAAAAAATGTTCTTGATTTTTCTACTACATTTGAAATTTAGAAAACAATGTCTTCATCTCCTAACTGATGTTAAAATCTAGGGGGTTAGAGGATAGAGCTACCCTCCCCCAGATACCTACAAGGGGTTACGTGAGGGATGGTGATACCCACCTCCCAGATACTTACAGGGGGTTACGTGAGGGATGGTGATACCCTCCCCCAGATACCTACAGGGGTTACGTGAGGGAGAGTGATACCCTCCCCCAGATACCTACAGGGGTTTACGTGAGGGAGAGTGATACCCTTCCCCAGATACCTACAGGGGTTACGTGAGGGATGGTGATACTCTCTCCCAGATACCTACAGGGGTTTACGTGAGGGACAGTGATACCCTCACCCAGATACCCACAGGGGGTTACGTGAGGGAGAGTGATACCCTCCCCCAGATACCTACAGGAGTTACGTGAGTGATGGTGATACTCTCTCCCAGACACCTACAGGGGTTTACGTGAGGGATAGAGATACCCTCCCTCAGATATCTACAGGGGGTTACGTGAGGGAGAGTGATATCCTCCCCCAGATACCTACAGGGGTTACGTGAGGGATGGTGATACTGTCTCCCAGACACCTACAGGGGTTTACGTGAGGGATAGAGATACCCTCCCTCAGATACCTACAGGGGGTTACGTGAAGGACAGTGATACCCTCACCCAGATACCTACAGGGGTTACGTGAGGGATGGTGATACTCTCTCCCAGACACCTACAGGGGTTTACGTGAGGGATAGAGATACCCTCCCTCAGATACCTACAGGGGGTTACGTGAGGGACAGTGATACCCTCACCCAGATACCCACAGGGGGTTACGTGAGGGATGGTGAAACCCTCCCCAAGATACCTACAGGGGGTTACGTGAGGGACAGTGATACCTTCCCCCGGATACCTACAGGGGGTTACATGAGGGATGGTGATTCCCTCCTCTAGATACCTACAGGGGGTTACATGAGGGATAGCGGTACCCTCCCCCAGATACCTACAGGGGGTTACGTGAGGGACAGTGATACCTTCCCCCAGATACCTACAGGGGGTTACGTGAGGGATGGTGATACTCTCCCCCAGATACCTACAAGGGGTAACGTGAGGGATAATTATACCCTCCCCCAAATACATACAGGAGGTTACATGAGGGATGGAGATACCTTCCCCCAGATACCTACAGGGGGTTACTTGAGGGATGGTGATACCCTCCCCCAGATACCTACAGGGGGTTACCTGAGGAATGGTGATACCCTCCCCCAGATACCTACAGGGGGTTACGTGATTGATGGAGATACCCTCCCCTAGATACCTACAGAGGGTTACATGAGGGGTGGTGATTCCCTCCCCCAGATACCTACAGGGGGATACGTGAGGGATAATGATACCCTCCCCCAAATACATATAGCAGGTTACGTGAGGGATAGTGATACCCTCCCCCAAATACCTACAGGGGGTTACATGAGGGTTGGTGATACCCTCCCCTAGATACCTACAGAGGGTTACATGAGGGTTGGTGATACCCTCCCCCAGATACCTACAGGGGGTTACTTGAGGGATGGTGATACCCTCCCCCAGATACCTACAGGGGGTTACGTGAGGGATAGTGATACCCTCCCCCAAATACCTACAGGGGGTTACATGAGGGTTGGTGATACCCTCCCCTAGATACCTACAGAGGGTTACATGAGGGATGGTGATTCCCTCCCCTAGATACCTACAGGGGGTTACATGAGGGACAGTGATACCCTTCTTCCTGATGCCTATACAACACTAGTGAGTGTGCATGTGAGGATGTTGGTACCCTCCATCTTTATATATATTTAAGGTGTTTTGGCGACGAGGTAGTGATTATTCTCCAACTAGATGCCTATAGTGTTGTGTGTGAGAGGTTGGCGGTTCGTTTACTTCCATACCTATAGATGTGTGTCTCAAATACACTGTCGTGTACCCGTTAAGGAACGGTCTCTTCAAGTTTGCGGAAGAACACAGTCACGTTAAGTTTCAAATTCATAGCTTTGTGAGTACAATATGACCGGGACAAGTGCCATATGAAACTCAGGAATACTCGAAATTTACATTTCAGCATCTGTATGTTGCTGTTTAGTTCATAAATAATTGTAAGCCCTTCGTAAAGTTGAGTGAACTGCTAAATTTGGAATCGACTTTCGACAAGTTATCACCTCAACGATACACGTATCACGAAATAAGCGGGAGCACAGGACATCTTTAAGTCAAGGAGAATATTGGACGTAATTGAAATTCATTTTGCCCACCATTTGAAAATAGACTCCGTTGAGAACTCGGCCTAAAGTCTGTACGACGTGATATCATATGTATATAGTAAAGCTTCTATTCATAATATCAAATGAGAGCAGAATTCACACGGGGTTCCTCCTTGGTACCTAAGGTCTGAAACCAGGGATCAAATAGAGAGGAAAATGTAATTCTCACCCCATAACTACACATCATGACATTGCTGAGAATGGAGAGACGGGTTCACCCACACCTTCAGAATTGAGTCGGTGGGCTACTGGCTTCGCGGTCTAAAACTGGGTGTCAAAGCGTAGAAAGGATTGAAATTTACCACCTTATAGAGTCAGTCGTATGAAATTAAAAGGATAGAGAAGAAATGGCTGTAGGTCAAGATCAAAATTAAAGAACACTGCAGTATGAGGGACAAATGAAACACGTAATTATAGGGGCCAAGGGTGAACGCATTAAGACTAAATTTGCTTGCGTGGTCAGATGGCGCAGTGGTGAAGCGCTCGCCTTTAAGCTAGAAACAGTGACCTTTGTAGTTGATCTTTTGACCACACTAGGTCTCCTACTAACCTAACATTGTATCAAGTTTCAACCTAATCGGTCTTCCTTACTCAAGTTATCATCTGGAAATCATCCGAACAGACGGACGGACGGACAGACGACAAACGATATAGCAGCCTCCAGTTCCACCAACAGGTAACTAACAAGCCAAGAAGGGCGATATATACGGACACTGAAATGTGAAGACAGTCTCATTAACACACGGGCAACCATTCCTGTGTCACATAGTAGATTGTGTAGAAGTTTATATAAACAGTAAAGCCAGTATTTGACATGCTGGTCTTCCAGAGTTACTGCCCTTCGTTCACGATTTGATAAGCTTTACAACCAGATGTACAATATAGAAGGACATATCAGAATTGCAGAAATTGAAGTAGCACCACCAGCAAACCCCAATTCCAGCAGATGTTGTTGGGAATTATTCTGTAGAGAGGAAAAAACAATTTGATAGAGAGAATGATCCTAGTAATTGTTTTGTAGTTATGAGTTTGACACTACAAAAACCATTATACCGGTCCGGGTGATTAATATGACTGATGTTTTTACTGTAGAAAATCAATTTTGGAAGAGAAAATGATAAAGGTGGATATGTAGATATCGGTGATGACATTAGAAAATACACATTAAAACGGATTAATATATGTACATGTACTGACAACTTTGGAAATATGTGGTTAAAGCTTTGCACAACTTAAGTAAATTATAGAAACTAAGGAACTTGAGGAAAGACCATTCTTTAAAAAGTATCAACATAACAAAAATATTACTGCTGGTAAAAATAAGAAATATTCAGATAATTTTTCCTTCCGTAACTTTGAGAAACTGCCACAAATATATCAACTGCCTGCCAATTTTCTTCGGGTTCGTGAATCAATATTTACAATTCGCAAATGTCTACAATACCCTTTTACCAATACATCTCCCACCGGTTATTTGTCATTTTTACCTGTAGATATAAAAATATACTCGTAAAACAACAATATAAAGAAAAATAGAAAAACCATTTCCAGATATATATCTATACATATTCACCTATAGATCTGTGATATATATTATGTAATCTTTGGCAATTAGTACAACTCCTCTCATCTCAACTCCTCTCATCTCATCTCATCTTATCTCCCCTTTATAGATGGGAAATTGGATTTTTGTTATATCTTATGCACTAAAGCTTGACGATGTTTATAATTTATCTACCTTTTCCCTTCTTTTTCTGTCTCTAAATGTTAGATTGTGTGATGATTTAACTAAGTATGTTTTGCATATTTGAAGCAGGGGCCTGTATTATATTCTTTGTGTGCATGTCAATATGTTAAATATGTGTGATGTGATTATATATGAAACCACTGTAAAAATGTAGCGGTTCAATCACATCCACTTCTACCAAGCTATTCCCTTAATAACAGAAGTAAAAATCGTTCAAAATAAATAATATATATATAATTACAACGACAGCATGCTGTGATAGTGTCGGTGGTAGATATTCGGTTAGTCACGTGATAGTATTTCCAACAGACCAATTACAGGTTTACAGTGTTAAGACTCAATTCAACTAATGCCGTATTTAAGACTCCAAGTAAATTGTTGTGGTGTTGAAGAACAAATGTGAAGTTTTATTCTTCAAGGACACAATCACGACCCGCTCTCTGTAGGACAATGAACCTGGCAACGTGTCAAAAGACAGCATGGCTGACATAATATCAACGAGGCTATGCGGGACAGGGATTACGGTGCGGGACACTACAACCACTCGAGATTAAATGTTGTATCTAAATAGCCTCCATCCACAGACATATTATTCCGTTCCTGTAGCGTCAGAGTTTGATTTCTCTCACCTGATGCATCTTTTAAGTGTGTTACTTCATCCCGATCTTACTAATTGTTTGCTTATTGGCTAAACTTGAATGGCAAGATATTCAGCCTGTGCACCTATAACAAGTTGTTTGAAACAAATAAAATCCCTCGGCATCTCTCAATTTTATAAACTTTTCCTGCCAATTTAACAACTGTACCTTACTTGGTGTTGTCCTTTACTAAACAAGATGTGTTTACTTTTTACATTGATCAAGTCATGTTTAAATTTGATTTCAGTAGAGATGTGTAAACCACACTGTATATTATGGTAACCTTCATTACACACAATAGTTACACTTGTTTCATCAAAAATATTTACCAGGTATTATATATATATCTGTATTAAGGGTTAATGGTATAATATTGCCGAAGTGTTTTGTTTTTGTGTGTGAATGTTAGAGTAGACGCCCTCATAAATTTTATTACAAAAATGTTGTTCAATGTGAAGTGGAAACGAGAAAATAGTGAATATGAGATGAAAATATGAGTGGCATTACCACAGATAAATGCAGAGTATATGGAATTCGATATGACACGATCAAATAAGACTTGATACTAATAGCATGATTGAGTGTCCTTATTGTTGTATTACAAATAAATCTATTTTTATCATAAGGTTTTCGTGTCATTTACCATAGATAACAAAAATAGTGCCTCCGTAACCGACTGCAATCAAGCGAAATTTTGAAAATTGGTAAATTTTTCTAACTTTTTTCTCGGAAAGTAATTAGATTTCATAGAAAACAGAACAAAAGATTTTTCTAGAATTTACTAAAGGTACTAAGTGAATATCACCTTTAAATTTAAATCTAGAGTTAGATAGAGCCAAACATTGAATTAAACTGCATCATACAGCTGAACAAATCCAGTCCATTTATATCTTTGTGGGGCCCAAGAACGCACTGGTGGTGACCTCTTCTCTATAAAATGTAATTAGGACTATACAAAAATAAATATAAAGACACAAATTATCGACACACTTTACATGGAATATCTTTTATTGGTGTATGTTGTTACTGACTTTTAACAGATGTCATAACATATCTATTAATTACAAATACAAAGCACCGTTTTACAGATAAAATAATATAATTGTTATCTGTTTTCAATTTACATATACCCCCACCAACCACACATGTTTAATACAATATAATACCATTGTAACCATCTAAGAACTGACGTATACAATTGTGACATAAAACACATTTTAAAGAATATATTTTGACTAAAGAACTTTCTCATCTACTTCTCGTTTGAACAATGTTCAGGGCATATCATACTCGGCAGTAGGTACGTCATACATTTTCACGACATCAAAGACTCCATATAATGCTAAAGTTCACCATTTTTTAACTGTTCCAACATATACAATGTAATTCATTATAATAATCACATGCACATAATAAATATTACAATGTAATATTGTGTAACAACGAACTGTCTATGAAATATGAAAACGTAAATAGCTTACCAATGGAATATACTTATTAATATCTAATACCATTCACATTGGACGGTGTGACTCACTAGAAATGACTCTCGTTTATAGTAAGCCAACGTATCTCTCCAGCCCCTTCCATCTACTTATATCCACGTGACGATGCATTTCATTGCCAAATATTACCCTTGCATTGACCACCAATGACCTTTGCGGTAGGCATGCTGTATCATGGATTACAGCGATGATGGTATGTTGTTAAAATCTTATAACCTGTACCAGACATAGCATGTCTCAGACATAGCATTATATCTATACAAAACATGTCGGGAAGTGAACAAAGCTGAGAACCCTTGGGTTTTGAAGGAGGTCCCTTCCTACATGATAAACTAGTTAATGCGTAGCCTTTCAGGATCGTCATATGAAAACCTCCAGTATATTTACAGATGTTTTACATACGAATTGACAGTACAGGAAAACTAGTAATGCTGCGAATACCGAAAATAGCAAGAAATCGCCATTACGGTAAATCAATCTCATACAACTGAAAAGGAATAGTGAAAGTTTGAATCCTTCATTTTATTACTGTATACTCTGTCGAACTCCTCACTCTGGGCTACAGTGAACCAATTCTTCCAATCACCAACTTTACCTGTTTAAAATAAATACAACAAATTTTCAAATAGTGATATTATAGAATAGATGTTATATCTGATTGTTTTCGAGGTACATTGTATAGGTAGCAGAGGAAGTAAGCTGTAGGAATTACTGTCGCCTAGGTAACCGATTTGTCAACATCCAAGGGGACGTCAATGTAGTATGTATATATGTAAAATTTATATTGATATTTCAGAAACAGAAAAATATAGTTGAAATAGACACAAAAATATCAGTAATAGACACAAAAATATCAGTAATAGAGACAAAAATGTCGGTAATAAAGACAAAATGTCGGTAATAAAGACAAAAATGTAGGTAATAGAAACGAAAATGTCGGTAATAGACACAAAAATGTCGGTAATAGAAACGAAAATGTCGGTAATAGACACAAAAATGTCGGTAATAGAAACAAAAATGTCGGTAATAAAGACAAAATGTCGGTAATAGAAACAAAAATGTCGGTAATAGAAACAAAAATGTCGGTAATAGAAACGAAAATGTCGGTAATAGACACAAAAATGTCGGTAATAGAAACAAAAATGTCGGTAATAGAAACGAAAATGTCGGTAATAGACACAAAAATGTCGGTAATAAAGACAAAATGTCGGTAATAGACACAAAAATGTCGGTAATAGAGACTAAAATGTCGGTAATAGACACAAAAATATCAGTAATAGAGACAAAAATGTCGGTAATAAAGACAAAATGTATCTAAATTCTCAAAAATGCTGCCTTTTATTCTGACAAAATGTCACCACGTAATAATTCACAAAAATGTGCCTTTTATTCTGACACAAAAATTTCTTCACCATATCTAAATTCTCAAAAATGCTGCCTTTTATTCTGTTTGAGTTTCTTCACCACGTATCTAAATTCTCAAATACTGCTGCCTTTTATTCTGTTTGAGTTTCTTCACCACGTATCTAAATTCTCAAATACTGCTGCCTTTTATTCTGTTTGAGTTTCTTCACCACGTATCTAAATTCTCAAATACTGCTGCCTTTTATTCTACTGAAACATCAGCTTATTACCACTAGTTTTCTTATATTTCTTATATTTAATCAATATCTTACTGAAATATAAGAATTGTTGTACGAGACACTGTATATATGTATTCTCGTGAATGTTTTATTAAGCAATGTTTCTTTCCTATATATTTCAACAAATATTCACAAAGATAGATGAATTATTTAGATGTAAATGTTCTACATCTGATAATACTAGAATACTGTACCTTTCCGAAACATAAGACCGACGTCTATTTGCTGGTTGTTACTGAAAGTATATTCCTTTGCAACGTTTGCATGCTTTAGATTTTGAAAGCTGCATTTTTCGGCAATGGCAGCAACAAATTTATCGTCGAAATCAACATCCAGAAATGTTCCTATTTTCGCAATTTCGCCCAAAGGATCCTAATAAATAAACAAAAAATTATATTAATACACAAAACAAGACAGCAACATGCAAATTTTAAGATTCAAACAGCAATACATTTGTACAAGTCTATGCACGCAATATAGATATTATCATTCAATACAGATATTGAATTCTTTAAAGAAAATATATGCAACGTGTTTCGTAATTATTACATGTTAATCACGAGCCAATGTAAATCAGTATATTATTCTAATATCAGTGGTAATATAACGGGATAATACCTTGGTGAGATCCTCGTAATATAGACTGAGAAAGTCTATATGTGGGTTGTCGGCTATCACCGCCTCCCACTCCATCGTGTACTGGAACCAACCTTGATAGAATACTGTGAACAAAACGCACGTTTGCTCAATACTGACTATAGCATACATTTATAACGAATTCAGAATGTAGCTCATTGAAAGGAAATTTTATAATATCAAATTTATTATCAATTCAGTACAAGTCGTAAAGGCCAATTAAAAAAATAATGAAATATATCAATTTGGTGAATTGAAGGAAGACAAATGATTGTTTTGTAGATTACCCGTTACGAGTGAAAAACAGTTGTATTTATTTTATCTGTAAGCAGTGTTTTAAGATGCTGTTGTTATTATACAATGAATGTGGTTTGTTTTTCAGTCGAACAACGACCAGCAATCAATATTACTACTGAAGTGAGTATGGTCCACGACAACGGCTGTGGAATGAATGCATGTTGTATCTTAAAAGGAAAATGATAACACAATTCTCATGTGACTAAAGAAGTGGAGCAGCGTGGACTTCTACTTCAATGAGTTTATGTCGTAGTTCACAAACGGCTTGCACAATTGCTTTATTCATGTAAGAAAATCGTTAGGTGCAAATTTTGGTGGAAAATGACAGACATGGAAAATGAAGGATGTCTGATATGTTAATGATCTATCTATACTGAAATATTTATCTAACCATATTGTAAGTATTCGATATGGTTCATGCTGAAATACATAATATATACAAGGTATTAGCATCAATGGCGTATCCTTTATATACAACGTATAAACCAGCATGGTAGGTAACTTACTTTTTTCTGACAGGAACAATTTAAGATAATGGTTCCAGTCACCATTGTAGAAGAGGTAGTCAAAGTTTTTCGTGTGGTTAAAGAAGGAGACAGCGACATCTTTCGGATTCCTCTGTATAAATATCATTTTGCATCTTTTGTTTGCTATATCTTTTGGTAAATGTCGAAATGGCAAATGAGTATTGAAAATTCTTGGAGATGGAATGGTTTCGAACTCCTTTGGTAGGTGAAATTCGTTTGTTACAGTTTCCTTGGATTCTTTTTCGTAGTCCGTTGTTCCTTTTACAAGCATACGAGTTATCTCCCATACCCAATGTGTACCTGAGGTGAACAAAAGGTAAATCATTATTTGATCGTTTCAACACAATGGAGACTGTTATGAAACCAACATAAATCATTTCCGAGTACTCATGATTTATATGATAGCAAATCACCGTTACATAAACTGAACCATCTATCAGAGAAATATCTCCGTTTTCAATATTGATCACATGTTGAATTCCTGAAGGAATGCTTCAGACTTTCTTAATAGCGAATATTTGTAATGCGTCGCATTCATAACGTTAACTTGTTGTAAAGTGTTTTCTTTCATCGTATTAAAATCTGTCAAGTTGATTCTAGATTGAAGCAATAGCTATATTGTTCGCTGAAATAAACAAAAAATACATTTTTCATGTTTTTCTCATTGAGTTTTGTTTTCTGATTCAATCATTTCCGCAAATGAAGAACAAGTACCTTATAATCGTAATTGAAAAAAACCGATGATGATCGTTAAATATGTTTGTTTTCATAATACCATTCATTAAACTTCTTGTCCGTTTGTGAATATGATTCAAAGGGAAAACGATGAGTAAGTCATAATATGTACAGTAAGCGATTCACAAACCATCACAACTAATTTTAATTTTGTACGGGTAGTCAATATGTGTAATATATGTTTATATATAAAGGTTTCAATGAAATGTGTTTGTTATTTGTTGATTTCTTGAGATTGAATGTAAAAGGTAAGCTTGAGATTTTGAAGTTTGCTTTGCATAAAGTATGCTATCTGGCCCACCCTGTATAAAACATCTCAACTTGAGATTTCCTCAAGTCGAGATTTTTGAGATTTCAAAAACGGCTTGTATAAAATTTTCTCAAGGAACAGGAGTAAGTCATCGGCTAGGATTGAAATTCATTGAGGAATTTTCATACGAGATATTTTATACAAGTGGGGCCTGATATAGTAAAACAAAAAACAATGGGGAGTATTGAAGATGTATAATAGTATATCTTTTCCAAACATCACAATCACGTGTGTTCTTCACCTTCAGTGGTTTGGAAAGCCTATCATAAAAAAGAAAATTAGAAATAGGAATCCCAGTATTACCTGCTTTAGGATAAGCACATAAAAATACGTCACTCTCTCGGCATGGCATGCTTTGTATCCTCTTGAGGTTTGAGCGAAAGTCAGGAACAGCACCAAGTTTTAGCTCATAAAGAGGCTGGTGTAAGCCGTCATATTCCACGTATTCAATAGTGTTGTCAGCGTCATCAGTATACCTGGTGACGTCACTTTCTTTTATTTCATCTGTAAAAATAGATATAAATTTACCAGTCATACAAGACAACGATAGATATGTATATATGTGTTGTACGCTACATAAACGAAATACTGTATTTTAACATGAAATTAATCAAAGAAGACAAACTAATTAAACTAGCATTAACCTACGTCGATTATTCGACAGAAGCCATGTCGCTCGTCTTCCTGTCTGTACATACTAGTATATTGTTCGTGTGTTCATTCCTAGAAACGGCGCAAGAACAGCTTTATTGGATTCATTTCATTTCTACAAATTTCATTAGATATGTCACACGACTGCACTCGGACACCAGGAAAATTCAAATAACACTTTTATATATAATATATGACTGCGTGTAGTAACGCACTGAAAACTCGGAAGTATGGTAATTAAATCTTCAGAACAAATATGTAACATACCTGCTTGGTATATATTTTCCACATCCGTCATTTTGAGAAACACACTGAATCACCTGAGAAAAGAAATAAAAATCGCTGTCACTGCAGTTCACAAAATGCCCACCAGGTAAGCGTCTTGCCAGCTTCCCAGCACTGAAATCAATCTCTGTTGTAATGTCTTTACAGTCAAAACAGCTGTAAGGTACATTTTAATTGATGATATAAATATAGTTTATTCACTTCTGTATCATTTTGTAAATAATTTTTGGCATTTTTGTGACGCTGCAAAATGTGCTCTTTTTTAATATGTGACTGTTTTTTAATCATTTAATGAAAGCTAGACCGTTTTGCATACATTTGCGTTACTGAGATTTAAATGCCACAAGATGTGCAATAGCACGTGTGACGATTGCATGTAGAAATAAATACACACGATAAAAGTACCTGTAAAATGAATTTGTTTATAAATAAACGTAATTGTATCGTATACCATTTCCAACATACAAAATAGTTTACAAAGCAGCTGTTTTATTGATTTAGTACTGTTGAATGTCACACGTGTTTGTTTTCATAAGATCACTTTTATACACTGATGTTTTTTTAGATATGAATCGATCGTAATAATGATTGTTATTTATGAAGATTACTCGATAAGAAATCACTTGTACTCTGAATGTAATGGTATATATTTTTAATACAGCAAGATAAATTTCTGTTGCAGTATCTTATCGTCTTGGAAACATTTCTCTATTTTGATCACCAATAAATTCTGGTATAGTACCTCATTAACAGTTAAATATTGAGATGGTTAGCAACAGCTTAGACGTGACAACAAATTATCGCTAGTACAAACATGTTAGGTCGTGTGATAGCGGAATCTGTCATAAACAAGACTGATTGCGAACTTTCTTTTTCCATATATATACAAACAATTGGCAAAGCTAAAAACACCATGGAAACGAGTATAATAAATGTTATTGCCAGCGTGATACTAGACTCTCTGTTCATCATTAGTTTCCTCGTGGCTTCCGTTATAAAACTAGTTATGATTCACTCTATCCTGTATCGATTCTACAATAATCCTTCCGTCTCCATCACATAGTTTTCCTTGACACCGACTCCTGGTCATCTTGTCTAGTACTGACGGTCAGACAGTAGGCTGTATTGCGTTATTAGTACTAGTATATTGATGAATGCCATCTCACAATGTAACACATCCAACTTTAATGTGTACAATGATACGAGTCAATGCAATGTATATAACTTAACATATGGAATCTTCAATGAGTTTCCATTTGGCATGTGATTTATGAACATGTAAAATGAAAAAAAAATCGTTTTATTGTTATTTATCATTATCCTAATGTATTGTTTTATTCCATACATCAAACAGACACTGAGGTAAACAGTTGACCATGTCGAAATACGTTACAATGTGAAAATCGACACCGTTATACTAATTATGCAATATCAATATTAAACACTACAATGTATGATGATAACATAAGCATTTATTTCAAATTTACAACCCACAGCGAACCCATTACTTTCACAATTCATTCTCTCATTATACTTTCCCATGCTTTGCACTTAGTGTCTGATGCTGGAAAACATTATATATTCTTAAGGGAATAGAGAGGAGTGTAGATCTTTTACTGATTTCAAAATATTTTAGGGTAGTGCTATTTGGTAAGCTTCACAATAAAATATTTTAGGCCTTCCTAAGTTCATGTGAATGGCGTGTTCAATGTTACTCATTGTTAACCATCTTACCTAGATCATAGTATCACTCACGAGTCGTAAAATGGAAGAAACACTTCAATTCATTATTTGGTTATACTTCGTCCTACGCTTAATTTATAGTTAACAGTGCCGTTCGAGTGGGATCTTTTTTTATATATACCAGCCGGACCAAGACGTGTTGGGTATTTGATTGATTGGTTGGTTAGTTGTATACAGGCTTTCAATATTCATAAGGGATTAAAAGATTAAATGAAAATATTTGTGACCAGAGTTAGAGTCAGGTAAATGTAGTTATATTTCACTTCATACTTGCGGGCAGATAAAGATCCCCTCTTCCACATATATTCCAAATCAAGCAATATTAATAGTATTTGTCGTTATGCTGTATATAAAGAGTACAAAGTATACGACTTTGTCGTTTTTCAAATAGTTAAACTGCACCAGGTTTTGGCGAATAAAGCAAGTAGTTGTGACGCATAAACACTTTGATATAAAATAAAAGTACGTAAGTATGTGTAGGGTTTAGTATGGAAACAGCTCAATACCTGACACACTAATTTTATAGAATATAAAAGGACAGCAAGCTCCTAGCTTAACTGCAAAAAGAAATTTAATTATTAACGATTACCAGGAAGAACTCTCTATTACATGGGACCCAGGATTTCCATTACGAATGGTACATTTTGATTTCCAAAGATAAAGAATTCTATTTCAAACTTTTGTATAACAACTTGAATGTTATTTATCGTTTTCAGAACCAAATTATTTCAGTATGCGGTACTCACCTTTTCAAAATACAGTACCTAAGTACACCGTGATTAGTGAACGCCAGTGAAAACACTTGACAGTAACATTAGCTTGCTAACCAACAAAAACAAAGGGCAGCAATTCCACTTAACAAGATACCGTCCATAAGTTCAGGAAATAGAGGAGAAGAACCAAATATATAGGTTGTACCAAGCCAAGTATGATGTCTGCAAAACAACACCATATTCTAATGATCTTCGATCTGGTATATAAAGCAACTTAAGTCGGTCGTCTGATGTTGAGGCTGTACTATGTATATCAATAATAAGGTACACTACAAACAAGTTAGCACAACAAAGTGATATAAATAGCATTTTCCTTGACCTTACTGCGACACATATACTGTCCTTCATGACACACATGCAATTAATGAATTATATATTTGAAACTATAGCTTGAATCGTCGAAGTGAGCAACTTACCAGTAATGTTGATTCCTTCGTGTTTACATGATAAACATACGATTCCCGTTAACTACTTACCTAGGATCAATAACCCAACCTTACTACAGTCTTATACACAGGAAATACACATATGTGACATGGTGGAAACTACCTTTACAGGACACGTATAATCGGCACGTTTCTCGCGGAGCTCACCACACAGTGTCATCCTGAGGCGTTCACACGTGTTCACACCTGTCTTTACGAGATTCGTTGTGTTTATTCATTCAACATTAAATATACAAGTTCTAACATAGTAGCTTTCTAATTAATTACATGTTGAAAAGGCATTTTTGATATTATTTTCGTCTCTTGGATTCATCAAGTAAATATCAACCTCAGTTATAAATATTACAATGTCAATTTAATGGAAAATGCTGAGATACATATGTAGCATCTCATTTTGTTCATCAAGCTTTAAAGCACTCATTGTTATGTTGTGATAAAACCTAATTGTAGTACAGAAAAAGAGCCATAAAAACCTATATAATGATAATTTTTTATAAGAGAAATTCTGCTTGAAAATACTTAATCCTTCAAAAATCAGGCATAATGCATCCACAATTTGTAACACATGGAGTCTTCCAGACATGAATGTTAGTGAACATTTCGGATTTAAGAACTGTGATCATACAAAATGATGTATGTTGGGACGAAAGATTGTTAGTCAGACTTAATAAAGCATTCAACGACTTCACAATCACAGAGGTGAAAGTTGGAAGGTTATCTCCGCGGCTAATTCACTTATATCAAGCTTGTTACACTGGCAGCATATGACAGTTGTTGTATAGTTTTTCGTTAACTCACTAGACAATCTCAACGCGTCAGAAAATGACCAAGAATTAAAACGGACAATCAAAGAGCTTATGGAATCTGCAGACGATAACTTATCTCCAGGGACAATATCGTGAATATCCGGTAATGACGTTTGTGATATTGGATAGATTGACACGTTAATGCAAAACTTGTGGTGGTAGATCGAGTCTAGATGCATCATCCTGTAGATCAGTATTGTAGAAAATTTATTTCGATTCTGCTTATTCAAAGCATCGTCTTTTCGTTTTCTCGTACAGATTTTCAGCGACCTGAAAAGACAACTGGGTCGGACTTCGGTAACTTCGCATCAATTCTTTTGATATGCAAGACACGTCGAATCTGGTGATACTGACAAATACAACAAAATTATCAAAACAGTACACGATATTAGTTTAGTTCAGTTTATTTTATTACCAGAGCAGGATCGTTACGATCCTCTATACGGGTTTCAGTGATACAATGATAATGATTTTAATTATTGTCATTTGAAACATCAGATCTAGGAACTACAGAATTTCTTATTTATAATTATATACCAGTTCTTGATTTGCCCAGTGTTCATCTAATCTATTTTTGAAAGAGTTAACTGTTGATGCGATACAATATACTCCGGAAGATTGTTCCATATTTTGACCACACACAAAGAAAAAGAATGTTTCCTGATGTCAATTGCTGCATGTAAAGTGACCCCTTGTCAAATTAAAGTCGAAAATATTTTGTTTAAAAAAGTAAATATCATCTTTAATCGCTTTTCAGTAAGCAATATAAACATAGGTCAATCTATTTATAGAACAAGGTTAACGACATATAAACAGTATATTGCAATTATTGTACGTTCACTGGTTTGATTTAAATGAATACTTACACTCCGAGTTTAAACTGACACTAGTTCAGATAAACGTGTCTTAATATGTAATGTTACATATATACTTCCATTTTGATGAAATGTCAATATCCCCATTACCATACAAAATGATCTGATATAGAACTGCTGTATAATTATATAACCAAGTCTTAACGCTATTTCAAAATGTTAACCAGTTAATGCTACTTAAAGGTAGCTCGTTAGAAAAGCTTTGTAATTTCACTGTAAAAATTAACTGGTAACATTTTCTCCGGTTGGTACTGCCAATAGAATAGAAATGCTTACGACACAGTCTGTAGAAGATGTACGTGTGATGTTTTGATGACTTCATGGTCACATTCATCTAACGAATGGCCAGAGTGGAACGTAGTAGCACTGGCGAACGTAGCGTACGGGAGTCGACCAATCGGCTATACTATACTGTACTCAAGTACACTAAGGTAGAAATAGTGAGATGAGATGATAAAGGAAAGGTATGCAAGATGGTACAATGTACTGGAGTCAGTTGTATCATAAAGACTATTAAATTCTGTCAGTTAGTAAGTATAGGATGTCAAAATTACTGTATTGTATTGTAAATGTACTTCATTTGCTTCAATCAAATTTTAGCGAATTTAGCTGTAAATTGAGGAAAATCAGCAATCATTATATCAACATTTTCTGGGCAAAATGTGCTAAAATAGAATTACCGCTAAATATTTAGCTTACAGTAAGTCTAATGAATTCGAGATGATAATTTAAGTACCATTAAATCTTTTTTTTTCCCATTTCACAAGATTATAATAAACCCGACTTGTGTCACCGCGAAAGGTGTATTTCAAAATGGGACGTAGCGGTATTTAAAATGTAATGGTTAAATGGTGTAAGATGAATCTTTAATGTTAACAACTTTGCTTTTAAAAGACCATTATGTAACACTCAAACATACAACTGGATATCTAACAAATGATAAAACGGCAATCAAAGTGATAAGAGAGTAATGAGCAGCAGTGATAGACGAACGTTTTGATTTGTAAAGTTAAGATAAAATATACGAAAGCATTTGAAGTCGTAATTTAAGACCGTCGTTTTCAATGTTATTTCTAATTTGATTTATAACTGAATAATTGAATCAACCACTTAAATCGTTCTGTCTTTCATTATGACACTAAAACTATCTTCTTTTTGCTTTGATCTTTCGAGTACGGTAAAGGTTGTCTGTCTTGATGGGTTTTCCGTTTTATTCGAGAATTGAATGGTGCCTTAATTACCTTGAAAATAAAGCAATTAAAATGTCGGGAACAATGTATTTTGTGTAAGTATTTGGGAAAGTTTGAGGATTCAACTAATATACATTTTGCTGTGCTTGTTTCGAATGTAACTGTAAAGCATACCAGTATTCCATATAAAGGTATATTGTCATTAAACTACACAATCAACAGTCAGTTCACTCAGTGAATTTGTATAATACGTATTTACTTACCAATAACACCAATTGCTATGGAAACCTGAACGATGCTTTTCCTGTGAAAATGTTCATTGTAACAGCACAGACTCCAAATATCCCTGTTGATAAAAACAGCCTTCTTTTAGAAAACAGTTCACGTTTCTTGTGTGCGCTATAAAATAAAAAATCCATACATTTTCCAGTATTGATGGGCGAGTTCTGACCGTTTTTGTCAGCGTTGTTGTATTCCTAATCTGAAGCTGTCTCTCCAATGTGAGAGAAAGTAGTCACTATTCAAATTGCCTTACTTAAAACATTAGCTTGCGTAAGTGGGTATCAGAAGACTGCGCTGCTCGGCTGAAATCTAATGAATAAATTTGAATGTAAACAAGGCGGCGTAATTAGCTGGAGCATCTTCTCGTACTGATAGGAGGCGTCCAAGTTGTGTGTTTTACAACATATATAGGAGTCTCCGTCTGGAAAGGAAATCATTACATTTTATCTGTAAATCATATCATAGCTGCATAAACGGGACAGAACAGGTTTACTGTCATGCTCCTCGTTATCGTTTTGTACGTAAACAAGACAACAATATTCCATCTTCGAGGCATGCTATTTATACTTGATAGCTTATCTCGGTAAAACCAGTCATTTACTTGATCTTTTGAATAAGACAAGAAAGAGCCAAGATTATTGATAACGATGCCAATTGATTTAACTTGAATATGGTATATGATATTGGTGGGATAGATTTCAAAATCACTGTTATGATAACCATTATGCACAAAGTTACCCATGATGTTGAACCACAAAGAAAGTAATTTTTGCTTCATCGACCAACCGCAGCGGAAGGAAGATGCAATGCCATTGACTATAAACGGGAAACGCTGTGACTATGTTTTTTTTTTACTCTCCTAAAATCACCAAGGAAGCGTTTATGTAATGGACCAGCTAACCTCAGTTTCACACAGAGTTATCTGTGTCAGAAAGTTCCAAATACAGGAAGATCCATTTTCACGTTAGTCAATTGCTTTATCAAACGTAAATATAAAGATTTTGCTGGTATGTTTCACTCGTGTTATCGCAGTCTAAAGGGACATTGACCAAAGTTGCAGGTAGAAAGGTTAGAATGATCATGTAGACATGTATTACAGTAAGTGGAATAAAAGAGAGAGGGGGAAGAGAGAGGGGGAGAGAGAGGGGGGAGGGGAAGAGATAGAGGGGAGAGAGCGAGAGAGAGAGAGAGCGAGAGAGAGAGAGAGAGAGAGAGAGAGAGAGAGAGAGAGAGAGAGGGAAGAGATAGAGAGGAGAGAGCGAGAGAGAGGGGGGAGAGAGAGAGAGAGAGAGAGAGAGAGAGAGAGAGAGAGAGAGAGAGAGAGAGAGAGTATCATTTAATGAAAGGATTGACAAGATACGCACCAGAGAATGGCAAATTTAAATACAAAATTTGAATAAGATACGGTATAGCCAAATAACGAATCAAACGTATAACAGCTGCAGCCATATAGTGTTACATTAAAATAAGCTCATGTTACCCCACGTCACCATGTGGCAGAATGTGATATGGGACACGTGAAAGGTAATATAATAACACTTATATCATTGTTCGGCTAATCCACCCTATTGGAATTCTCGATAGATATACAAGAAAACTATTGCTGTCGACAACACCTTACCTCACGGGATACGCATTTACATATCAGAAACGGTTAGGTATATTCATTACAATTATATCAGCCTTAACTTTAGATAAAGAGAACACGTTAACATAGACATGTAAAGGTTACGTCAATACACAAGGATCACGTCCGAACTAAAGTTCGTTACGGCATGTACTACAAAACATACAGATTGGCAATTGGAAAATCGATACAAAATATGCTACGTCGACAAAGCACAAGGACAGCATCTAGGGTGTTACATAGATACAAATACTACATCGTCTATACACAAACTGCAAGAGTACATATTTAAACACGAACTAGGAACGACACGTGCTGATTCCATATGTGGCTCCCACAGTGAAATTTCCTGCCACCACCAGTGGCATCCGTCCTGTTATATCCTGTAACCACATGTGGTGTCCTCACGTTATCTCCTGTCACCACATTGCTATCTTCCTAATTCCGCGTAACGCATCTGGTACCTTAATCATATTTTCCGTCGCCATATGTGGCACCCTCCGCATTTCTCGTCATCATGCAGGTGTAATTTCGTTTTATCCCCGTTGAGGTACCTTGGTATTTTCCGACACCACATGGGGTATCTTCATGTCACTCGTCACCAACTGTGGCAACACATTCAAGAAAGGATAGAACATATTCAAACCCAAACATAATGCGTAATCTGCTTTTCTGGGCAAGTGCCTGTCTATGGTATCTTCCATTGCGACGTATTTCACCTTGTATAATATCTTTCAATAAGTGTTTAAATCATCACCACATGAGGTACTTCCATATCCTCCGTCATAACAACTGGCAGGATATATGATATTCAAGCAGTAACCATCTGTTGCATATCTCTCGTACCAGATGTAGCACTTACATGATGTCTAAAGTCGCAACGTTTGGCATCTTTCTTTTATTTATTAAAATTGTGGCGCCTCCCGTCACCACATAAGAATCATTCATAAGGAAGAGTGTCCATGTGGTGATGTGGTATATGACGAAGGGTAATTGAAGACTGACATATTGATGACTTGTGGTTTCATGAATTGTGTCATTTGTGTAACATATTGTAACAAAAACTACCATTCACATGCGAGAAGATGAAACAACGCTTTTGTAATATGTACTGCTATAAAAATATATATGTATATTTATATGACTACAAAATATAACTATTATATATGTTTTATAGTTACCTATTTTGTGGTCCCTCTTATCCATCCGTGTACAGCATCAGGTAATCTCACAGAAGCCTATATAAACAGTTTGAACAGATCGAGTGGCTGGTATTACTAGTGGTAGAGATGGCCTTGGCCGAGTTACTGAGAGTTGTCAGGATAAGTTTCGGTAGGTCGTTAATACCAAACAATAGATAACGTAAGATGCGCACGTATAGTAATTGGCTATGGGATCAATTTATTCAAATATCTATGTGCATACGCTTATCTTAAGTTACACACGTCAATAGCTTGGAACATAATGGATGCAGCCTACTATCGTTATCCTTTTGTATTGCACCTGCACGTCTGTATATAAAAAAAAGATTGATAAACCCATATTGAAGATGTGCCAAGCTTGAACGAGTGTCTAACCCAGAATACCATCCTCCGCATTTCTTTGATAACGATTTAATTTCTGTTGGTGTAGTTATCACTACAAGAAAAGAAAAAGATTTCCCATAACAAATCTTCGTTAAGTTAACTAGGACATGAACAGCAGTTCGCTCTTGGTCAGCCACATAGGGACAACTATCACAATACACAGAAGAACGGGTCAATATATTTGTCTTATACTTGAGAGAGGCAGTACACTGTATCCAACTCCATCAGCAGACGGAGTATATACGCCGTTGGTTTGATCGACAAGGCGAGAAATGAGGTCCCCAATAGAATTGGATCTTTATCTGAGCTATAGAACTACTGATGATTAGCAATGGTTTCTCTTTTATGTATCATTTGTCATTCCGTCGTAATCATGCTTACAATATGGCCTTATTTGTATTCTCTGTTTCTGTTAGATCTTATGCAAATGGTTCGAGTTGTGAACATGAAACCATCTTATTATACGCAAACTGTCATATCATTGCTTTTTACGAGTGCCGGAATTTGCTAGTTATTCCATTTATTAACCAGGTGTATGATAAACGGATATGGTCATGTGTTCCGGAAGAATAAGTGCCTTTTGCTTCATCTACGACACCCACCATGTAAATTCTGAATTAATCCGAGTAACTAAAGTCATGTTCTCAAACGAGAACAATGTATACAACAAAACCAACAAACGAGTTTCAACCACGCCCAGCTTCATATCGCACAAAGAAATAGAATATTACTCAATAATATCACTTAAACGACCATAAAACTTCCTCTTAATGTTCATCAACCTGCATCTTTCGGAAAAATGTGTTACGATTTTGTTCGTCAGTTGACGATTTCTTACACGAATATCGTGAAGAGGAAGATACCCTTGAATATCGGTTCAACAGCGAAATGAAAACGTTTTAAGTTGGGAATGCAAGATGCAGGAATGTAACTGTACAGAAGTGTAAAGTTCACAATAGGAAAATTGAAATCATTCAACTACATCCTACTGCTAGGTGGAAAACCGTTCATGTTGGTTTCGTTGTCAAATTAAGAGGCTGGTGTAGAAGAGTCGTCATGTCCTTGATTTCTGGCAGGTATAAACGGTTGACGTGGTCAAGAAATCTCTAGCTATTAAAAGACAACACGTCATCAATATTTCTAAAATTGAAATAACCTGTTTTTACTTGCTGTTCGATAACTTCAGCAAACAGAGGAGCACAGTTGGTTTCCATAAGCCAAAAGTATATTGGAAGATAAAACTCGACGAAGATGTTGTCAACATTTGATTTGAACATATTTTAACTAATTCAGACATATGAAAAAGAAAGTTCTCATAACAAGAGAACGAATGCATTCTTAACAGTTTAGAAATCCAATATAAACGGGGGTGGTCCGTATCCTTACTGAAGCACGATCAGCCAGTATCTTTTTTGGAAAGATTTCATAATGTACTGGCGATGTTTATTTCGTTATCAAGCACGCCTAGTTCTTCGCGTATACATCAGTTAAACTTCTATGAATCGAAATTCGATGGTTCGATTTTCTCGATGTATCGAAGTTTTAGTCCGGTTCCGAATTTTATTCCAATATGTTTCTACTAACTTATCCCTTTTATGAATTCGAAGTTTTATAAATCGAACTTTTCGATGTATCGCAGTTTTTTCAATGACCGTAAGCTATGATAACAGTCATTGCCACCTCATGATTCGAACATCTACCTGTAGTGTACCGATATTTTCGCATTTTAACGAAGAGTGCTGCCCGACGGTATCATTAGTTCTGTGTTATGAGGTTAATTAATGACTGGTCACAAATTAACAGTTAATTTATTATTTACTAGCCATGATATTTAATCAAAGAGAATGGGACGTCGTGTGAATTTTACGTTGTCTATGGTACGCTTTGCACAGTGTGGGCTCATTTGTACCGTGGCATTTTTCTTCAAAATATGGACACTCGTCGACATTACAGAACTGGGTGTATAATGACCGGATATAGAAAACGATGTGTATGATCTACGAAAATCCGTTTACCTTGAATTTCAACGCAGATGTCAGCCCTCCCAAAGTATTCAATAAACGGTAAAAAGTAAAAAAAAAAAAAAAAAACCTGTATTATGAGCTGTAACAAGGAAGTGGACGGAATAAACTTCATCGGAATAAATAGGGTAATTATCTATGTCACTGATATCACGTTTGGCTCTGTTTCTTGGATTAGATACAGCTGTGTAGCCCCAATGTTGTACAACATCAGTTCGGTACATTTCAATAATTGTTTTGATTATCAAAACATATCTATTTTCGTATCTTTTTCTCTCATTTATGAAAAGAATTGTTCTGAAAGAAGGTGTAAGAATTTTACCTGAACAATTCTTACCAGCAGATCCGCTGACAGTTTGAAATCAACAAGGCGTCTGCACTGTGTCGCTTTTGGCCCTGTGAGGAAAGTTGTTCTGTGCACGGGTTCCGACCTCAGGCCGAATCATATCAGAGTCTTCGCAATGTGGTAGTGTAACGACATCATAAGTTGACCGAATTGGGCGTCCTTCTTGGTGTCCTCAGTAATATAGTACCGTTTCTGCCCCGAGCCGGAATAAAATTGCTGACCTTATTTCCCACGAAACTTTGAATTCAAACCAGGGTCTAGGGTCTCCATGTAGATATTTTTCTCTTTTTTATCTGTGTAACGTCGCCATTTTAAAATAAGAAGGGATTTTGAGGTTTATTATAGTATAAAGTAATCAAATAAAATATTGTGTCAAGGAATTTCCGAAAGGTCAGATAAAGATTAATTAATTCTTCACGATTACAAATATATACCTAATTTTTACATACCCCTTCTTCGGATCATTACAAACAAAAGATATCAAATTATTTAAATTGTACCGATGATGAAAATTTATTAGCATTTTGTTCTTTCTACCTTTTTATCCCATTTGTATACTTATTCAAAATAAAACGTATACAAATAAAGATATTATCAATTATATGTTTGATATGACCTAATTAAATTTTCTATCATATTTCTGATCTAGTATTTCCTCATACTGACCCTAAGTTTTCTTAATTTTCAATTTTATCTCGATTGGGTGTTATATAATGGTGAAGAAACGAGAGTTGTTGTCTTAATATAAAGAAAAGCAAATGAAACAGCAACAAAATACCGTATAATTAACAATAACGATTTAAAACATAAATTTCTGAAGAAATATTTTGTCAGTGGAATACGTACCTAGTTGAATAATGAAATATATACTACCAAAACGACGAAAGAGCTGTGTCCATTTTATACACATTGTTTTTCTACATGCCTTACGCCAGAGTAGTGTAATTGTGTGTTATGCCTCGTTTGTCAAACACTAATTCATATTCTTTTCCTTTGTCTAGGTAAGTAAATGACAACCCGACTTGTTTTGACATATCTTATACTCGTCAAATACTGTCAGTTTTTTTTCCCCAGTCACCATTTCTTTCACTGCTTCAAAATAAATGTCTGATGCATTTCTGTAGTTCAGCGTGATCTCGAACTTCCCAACAATGGCTATCTTTATTTGGCTTTGCAAAGTCGTTTGCAAAACTTTTCGGCCCACCAGTCACGAATGTTGTAGGATCGATTCCATTTTTCTCCGCTTTCAAATCGCCCGGGTATTCACCGAACTCAGGTTCTCACTGACCACGACGTATCGGAACTACCAATGACTCCGTATCAGAGTAGAGGGCGCGATTGTCCAGTTACTCAATTCAATAAAATTTTATTCCGTAAGTTTTTACAACATATTGGATACACATTTTTTTTACAAATGGCATATAACACAGCAAATATTCAACGGTCACGTAATATGCATTCAAGAATAGTCGTGCATATATCATCATATTCTATTAATATATATATTAATATTATATTGATATATATATACCTCATCAACAAGCTTTCTCAATCCTGGATGTTTCCTGACGATATCTTTACCAACAGTATCCCTTCATTTTAGAAGTTCATAATAAACCTTTATCTTTCATCTTCTGTCTTGTTTGACCACCCACTAGCTTCTTGTTTTAGCATTAACGTAATCGGTGAATACTCCAACAAATTCTGTGTGGGAAATAATTGGGTTACGTTATCAAAATGCCACATCTTAAACATCTTTAGGATTTTGTAACCTCTGTCAATGCCGTTTTCACCTGGCCCGTATCCCAGGTGCGTGTGCTAGTTCTTCTCTCATCAGTTTGAATACTTACCTATAGTGACATAATCTCGACACACGTGCGACAAAGACGAAACAACAGCTTTCTGTTTGCTGTGTAAGATAGGACAGGTTTATGTAATCCTGTTGGAAGGGGGATCTAGAATTTAATCTTAACTTGATCAAATTTCAAATAATGAAGATATAGAAACATGTATTTTATAATTATGGAAATTTGTTACACACCTTAAAAATTAACCTGCAATTTATAACATACAAATAAATTTCTGAGATCCACTTAAAAATGATAAAAAAAATCTTAGATATTTTTAAAATGCATTGGTTTCAAAATGATTTTTAATCCGTTAAGTATTACATTTTTCCCATCATGCATTGAATGTTGGCGACAAAAACATTTTATCTGGTTACACAGATTTTGCTTGAACAATTCTATATAGAAGTAACACAGGTGTTAGGAAATAGAACTTTCTTTA